TACAGCTCATACAGGTCTTAAGGAGTAGCTAAAGAGACATATGGAGGGCATAAGGTCTGTGGGGCTTAGGAGCTTGGTTCCCTCATGGTGGGGGTAGGGGTGCTTTCCTGACCAAGTCTTTTCCCTTCCTGCTTCCCGCAAAGGCTCAGCTCCTAGAACTCCGGACAAACAACTACCAGCTTTCAGATGAACTACGCAAGAATGGTGTTGGTGAGCCAAGAGGGCCTTATTAGATGGGGGTGGCTTTGGGGCATGGAGTCTGAGGTTTTCCCTCAAAGACCTGGCAGGAAGCCCTTTCAGTTCCTTGCCACTGGCTGAGGCTGAGATTCCCTGCTTTCCCGACACCAGAACTTGCCAGTCTTCGACAGAAGGTCGCCTACTTGGATAAGGAGTTCAGCAAAGCTCAGAAGGTACCTCCCTCCACCCACCCATCCACCCTTGCTTCTACCTATCTGACTCATTCATCCCTCCAGTGAGCAGCTGCAGTGAACCAGACCTAATGTTGCATGCTGTTTTCATGTAGTCATTTAAAGAATTCTCATGGAATTCTCTTTAGTTTGCTAATTTCATCTAATCCTGCATAGTTTATTGATTAATTTTAATTTACTTTTAATTCATTTCTAATTTCAGTTACTCATTCTCATTCACTGACTTTTAATTAAATATTCAAATCTATCAGTAAATCTGCCTCGAATCTGCCTACTGTCCTCCACTCACACTCCTGGCTTGTGCTTCTACTTCCCATCCCTGTCCTGGTCCAGTTGGGAAAGTGACAGCAAACTCACCTCTCAGATCCTCTAAAGATGAGAGATGAGATAGAATATAACCTATTGTGGCCCCTCAAGACATTCAAGGTTCTCCTTTGTCACTGCTCTGTCCCCATACCTAGCACAATGTTAATATATAATATGTGCTCAATAAATATTTGTTAAATGAACGAATACAGAATGCAGAAAATCTGGCAGTCAGGAAGCTGTGCTTCTCTTTGGTAGAATGCTGATTCCCCTAAGCTGGCAATGCTCTTGGCTGCCTAGCAGGGGAGTGACAGTTTCCACACTGTATGGGAGAGACCCACAGAGACAAGTATGGACAAATGTAGCAATGAAGCCACAGTTTCTGAGCCTGGAGATCCAGCCCACAAATGGTTAAATACCATCTCCCCCATCCCCCTACCAGCCTCAAGAGCTTCCAAGAAAGGATGATTTCTGTGTGCTGGGGCCCCAGGGCAGGACTTGCATTCATTCGCTCACTCGGGCACTCATTCCGTCATTCCTTTGGGCTCCAAATTGTCACATATGTTCTGTGGTTGAAGATGCTCCCATCCTGCAACCTCTATCATCATTGTCCTCCCAAAACGCTTGGCATGATTGTCTCCATACCCTAGTAAGGCCGTCCATCTCTGTTCACTTTAGCTCTCTTCTACCCACCCCCACTTTAGGCACTGAGCAAGAGCAAGAAAGCTCAGGTAAGGGGATCCCTGGTGGGTGAGTGTGAAGGGAGACTGTGTCTTGGTGGGCTATCTGTGTATGCTGAGCTTTTCTTGTACTGGCCTTTCTTTCTCTGTGTGCCCTTATGTCTGCTACTATCTCACTGCCATGTGTTGCTGTATCTGTCCTTGTTTCCCTGTATTTGTCTCTAACTCTGTGTCTCTTTCCTTCTCTCTTTCTCTCTCTATCCTTTTCTCTGCATCTCTTTCTGTCTCTGTCTCTGTCTTCTTGTTCCTGTCTCTCTGACTCGTTTCTCTTCCCAATCTTCTCTTTGTCTCTCCCCCACCTGTCTCTGTGGTTTCTCTTTTTTCTGCTTTCTCTCTCTGACTCTTTGTTTCTCCCCCACCATTCCTCTCTCTTCCTAACTCATTTATTTTCCTGACCCCTCCTCTTCTCCCTGCTCTGTTCTTTCCCTGTTGATTTCTGTTTGTTCCTCTCTCCATCTTTTTCACTCTCTCCCTCCCAATCCCTCTCCCCTTTTCTATCTCTCCCCCCCGTTTCCCCATCTCTACCTCCTTGCTCCCCCTATCATCTTCTCATTTTTTCCTCTGCTCTCTTCCTCCCTGTACTTCCTTTTCTCTACCTTCCCATGTCTTTTTCTCTCCATCCCTGTCTCTCACTTTTTTTTTTTTGAGACGGAGTTTCACTCTCATTACCCAGGCTGGAGTGCAATGGCGCGATCTCGGCTCACCGCAGCCTCCACCTCCTGGGTTCAGGCAATTCTCCTGCCTCAGCCTCCCGAGTAGCTGGGATTACAGGCACGCACCACCATGCCCAGCTAATTTTTTGTATTTTTAGTAGCGATGGGGTTTCGCCATGTTGACCAGGATGGTCTCGATCTCTTGACCTTGTGATCCACCCGCTTCGGCCTCCCAAAGTGCTGGGATTACAGGCATGAGCCACCGCGCCTGGCCCACCTGTCTCTCATTTTCTCTCTCCCTGTGTCTCTCTCTCCTATCTCACCTCATTCTCTGTACCCTATGTCCTCCCCTAACCATGTCATTTTCTCCCTCTCTCTGTTTCTTTGCCCTGCCTCCCCATCCTTCCTGCCCTTGCTGGAGTCCTGGCCCTTGTCTGCCACTGCAGGAAGTTGAGGTACTGCTGAGTGAAAATGAGATGCTGCAGGCAAAGCTGCACAGCCAGGAGGAGGACTTCCGTTTGCAGAACAGCACGCTAATGGCCGAGTTCAGCAAGGTGCTGGTGTCTGGGATAGTCAAAGGGGAAATGAGGGGTAGGGTCCATCTGGGCTGAAACATAACATCTGCAGAGTGATTGGACAGGGTCTGGCCCTGGAGCACTGTCCGTGGTGCTGAAACAGGTCCTGGATTGCTGCTGGGGGGCAGTAATTTGACAGATGGAGCCACTCACTGTGCTGGGATTAGAAGGCTTTGAGCCCTGAGGTCAGCTGGTTCCTGGCTAAGTCACTCCTTTTATTTGAGCCTCAAGTCTCCATGTGCATAACGTGGGGTTGATGCTATGGAGCTCCAAGGTACTGGCGGCGGGGGGGGTTAGGTAAAGTTCTTATGCTTAATATAGAATGGAAAAGTGTTCAAGCTTCTTCCCTTTTCTCTTCCTTTTCTTCATCTGACATAAGACTGACGTTCTACCTCTTCCAGATAATTCATCCTGGATCTACTAATTATGTCTCTCCACTGATTTTAGTGTCCTGGCTGTTTCTAAATCTACAGGGCAGTTGGAGGCATTGTCTTTTGCTCCCTCATCTATCTTCTGTAAACAGTTAATAATTGTTTATGTTGGCTGGCGTGGTGGCTCATGCCTGTAATCCCAGTACTTTGGGAGGCTGAGGCGGGCGAATCACAAGGTCAGGAGTTCAAGACCAGCCTGGCTAACATAGTGAAACCCCATCTCTACTAAAAAATAAAAAAGTAAAAATTCTCCAGGCATGGTGGCATGTGCCTGTAATCCCAGCTACTCAGAAGGCTAAAGCAGAAGAATCGCATGAACCTGGAGGTGGAGGTTACAGTGAGCTGAGATAGCACCACTGTACTCCAGCTTGGGGAACAGAGTGAGACTTCATCTCAAAAAAAAAAATGTCTATGTTTTTAGTATGTTTTAAGGAAAAAAGTCTCATGGCAGCAAAAATGGTATTTCTAAGGCTCCATCTGAGAATATAGTGCCTATGACCTTAAAAATACAAAACCGAGGCTGGGCGTAGTAGCTCATGCCTGTATTAATCCCAGCAGTCTGGGAGGCTGAGGTGGGCAGATCATAAGGTCAAGAGATCAAGACCATCCTGGCCAACATGGTGAAACCCTATCTCTTAAAAAATAAAAAAATTAGCTGGGCATGGTGGCACACGCCTGTAGTCCCAACAACTACTCAGGAGGCTGAGGCAGGAGAATCACTCGAACCCAGGAGGCAGAGGTTGCCGTGAGCCGAGATCATGCCACTACACTCCAGCCTGGTGACAGAGCAAGACTCTGTCTCAAAAAAAACACAAAACCTGAAAATAACCTTTAAGCAGGTACAATACCAGGAAAGGCACTTGAGCAAGTAGTGGTTACCAGCAGGACTCTGGAACCAGAAGGCCTAGATTAAAATCTTGGCTCTATGTTTTACTAACTGTAATCTTGAGCAAGACACTTAACTTGCCTGGTTCTTGGTTCCCAAATGTCAAATAGAAGTCATGATAATAACAGTACCTGCTTCATCACAGGGATTTTGTGAGGATTAAATGAATAAATGTATGTAAATCACTTAGAACAGAGCCTTGCACATAGTATCAGTTATGGAAGCATTAGCTATAATATTATCCTTCTATTAACTCATTTTCCCTCTAAAATATTTGACTTTTTAAAAGTTTATTTTTCTGCAACATTTATTTTTTAAAGGAATGGATTTTGAGAGAAAACAACATAGTACAGAAGTATGGAATAGAAAGTAAATACAAATGTAGGTTATTTTGCTAATTGTTTTATAACCGCAACAAGCTAGTTCAGAGAATCCCCTGTACAAAACACAGAGGTTCAAACATCAAGGTGTTCCCTTAGCAAGGCTGAAAATTTCAGTCTCTGGTATTTGAAATTTAGGCTGCAGTCCTTGTTTTTGGATGGATCACTGGGTGTGTGGCACAGTCCATGCTTTTTTTTTTTTTTTTAACAATATCCCTTCTTATATGTATCAAAACTCATACTGAACAATGAGTTCTGGGTTACAAAAGAGGATTTATTTTTTGCACCTATCCATGCTTTTTTCTTTTTTTTAATGAGACAGAGTCTCACTCTGTTACCCAGGCTGGAGTACAATGGCCTGATCTCAGCTCACTGCAACCTCTGCCTCCCAGGTTCAAGTGATTCTCCTGCCTCAGCCTCCTGAGTACCTGGGATTACAGGTGCATACCACCATGCCCAGCTAATTTTTATAATTTTAGTAGAGACAAGGTTTCACCATGTTGGCCAGTCTGGTCTCAAACTCCTGACCTCAGGTGACCTGCCCGCCTTGGCCTCCCAAAGTGCTGGGATTACAGGCATGAACCACCATGCCTGGCATACTTTTTAAAAGTTTTATATCCACCCTGTGGCCCTCCTCTGCCTTAGCCTCTACCACCTCTTATTTGCTGTTTCTACAGCTGCCTCCCTGGTCTCTTCACTTGTAGTTTCTTCTACTTAGTTCACACCACAGAGGCTATTCTGACCAGCAGATCTTATGACATCACTCCTTTACATAATATATTCCAGTGCCCCCTGTCCTGCTCCTAGTTCAGAGCCCCTGGTATTCACATAACTGCTGGTCTCACCAACTGACTCCTCACTACTTCCTGCCTCCAGCCTCCATGGTATCATGATTCTTGCAGAGTGAGGCAGGGGCAGACATTCTTCCATATATCCGGCTTGTTTCCCTGCACCTGTCCTGGGCTGGCACTGGAGCAGTTGTAGGGACTTCCTACATACTCCCTTTCCTCCTCCCACTCCTCCCAGGAACTGGAAGTGCTTGCAGAGAGACCTGTGTTAAACCTGCCACCATCCCTTATTCACCACGACATTTCAGCTCAATTGTTCCTTCAACAAATAGTTACTGAGTACCCACCACATGCTTTATGTTCTGGAAATCCAGTTGTAAGCAGCGCAGAATGATCTCCACTCTTGGGTAGCTTACATTCTGGGGGTGGGATGGGAGAAAGATAACAGTAAACAAATAATACTAGTAGTGATAGCTGACATTTATATGGTGTTCTGCGTGCCAAGTCCTGTTTGAAGTACTCTACATGATTCACTCATTTAATCTTTGAAACAAGCCTATGAGATATTATTGGTGTCCCTATTTGACAGATGAGGAAAACTGAGTTCCATGGAGATTAAGTAACTTGTCACACAGCTAGTAAATGACAGAGTAGAGATTCACATTCAAGCAGTTTGGTTTCAGAATCTGTGCTTATAACCCTACGTTACAAAAGAAAATTGTGATTAGTACTAGGTAAAAAAGAAATGAACAGAGTGCTGTGACAGAGAGTACTGGAATTTTCTGTGTTGAGGGATACTACTTAAAAGGCAACATCTGAGCAGAGCATTGAAGGATGCAAAGAACCCAGTTACGTGAATAACTGGATAAAAGAATTGGTGTTCTGGGTAGAAAATATTGCAGGCAGACCGGGCGTGGTGGCTCACACCTGTAATCCCAGCACTTTGGGAGGCCAAGGCAGGTGGATCACCTGAGGTCAGGAGTTCGAGACCAGCTTGGCCAACATGGTGAAACCTCATCTCTACTAAGAATACAAAAATTAGCCAGGCATGGTAGCGCATGCCTCTAGTCCCAGCTACTCAGGAGGCTGAGGCAGGAGAATCGCTTGAACCCAGGAGGCGGAGGTTGCAGTGAGCGGAAATTACACCACTGTACTCCAGCCTGGGTGACGGAGCGAGACTCCATCTCAAAAAAAGAAAATATTGCAGACAATAAAATAAACATTCTCTGTAGGCCTCGATATTCTCATCTGAAAGGGGGACAAGGGATTTTTTTCAGGACTGCTTTGAGAAGTATACTTTAGCAGGAGTTGGGCAGGGGGTTGGCTTAGTTTTATTGGCAGGGGGTTGGCTTAGTTTTATTGGCATTGTATGCCTCTCCAAGGCTAACGGCTGGAAGTGCAGGAGCTGTCATCAGTTGTTGGCCCTGGAAATGCCCTGCAAGCTCTTTGTGGTCCCTAGGATGAGAGGGAGCTGTCTCCAGGCCTAGGATCCAGGACACAGAGCCCTCCACAGAAGAAGGGTGGCAGTAAAGCTGTCTGTAGCACTGACAACTTCCAGAGGAGCCTGAGGTCTTGGATTGCATCTCTGAGGTTGGAAGTAGGAAGGGGAAAATTGTTCTTGGTGTCCTTATGCTTGGTATGCTCTTGGTATCCTCTGACTCTGCCACTTAAAAGGGGTGTAGACCAGGCATGTTGGCTCACACCTGTAGTCCCAGGACTTTGGGAGGCTGAGGCGGGCAGATTATGAGGTCAGGAGATTGAAACTGTCCTGGCTAACACGGTGAAACCCTGTATCTACTAAAAAAAAAATACAAAAAATTAACCGAGTGTGGTGGCAAGGGTCTGTAGTCCCAGCTACTAGGGAGGCTGAGGCAGGAGATTCGCTTGAACCCAGGAGGCAAAGGTTGCAGCGAGCCAAGATGGCACCACTGCACTCCAGCCTGGGTGACAGAGCAAGACTCTGTCTCAAAAACAAAAAAAAGATGTGTGAATTTGAAATTGTTTAACATCTCTGTGCCCCAATGTCCTTATTTGTAAAGTGGGAGGGCACCTACATCATAGGGTCATGATGGGAATTAAGTTAATTGTAAAGTGCATGGACAAATGCTATGTAGGTTTCAGCAAATACTGTTCTGATTCTCTGCTTTTTTGCCCCTTTTCTTCCTCTGTTCAGCTCTGCAGCCAGATGGAACAGCTGGAGCGAGAGAACCAGCAACTGAAGGAGGGGGCTGCAGGAGCAGGGGTTGCCCAAGCTGGGCCCATCGTGGACGGGGAGCTGCTGAGGCTACAGGCTGAAAACACAGCCTTGCAGAAGAATGTGGCAGGTACATAGAGGCCCTCCTGGGGATGTGGAGACCCTGGGGCTTGAGTAGGGCAAGGAAGGCTGTCATCCTCTCAGTGTAGGGAGAAGAGCTTCAGAGTTAGGGTTGGCCCATGCACTTTGTGACTTTGGACAAGCCATTTTGCCTCTCTGAGCCAAAGTCTTGTCATCTACACAGTGCATGTAGTGATGTCTTGCCAGCCAGAAGATTGTAGTAGTGATAAAAGTGGTATCATTCCGCATTAGTTCGGTGTCTGCTACCTAGCAAATGTTACAGATTAGCAGCTTGAATGTCAAAAAGGAGATATTTGCTAAGTGGAGAAAGTGAATGGAGTGTTGGGAAAATTCTGAGCCCAGATTGTAAGTGGGGTTTGGGATGAAAGCTGAAAGAAAGCTTGATAGAGTGTGGGAGCATGTGGTGTGTGGACCTTTCGAGAGCAGCTGGGACTTCGGTGGTGGTAGGAGCTGGTTCCATGACCAGGAGGGAGACTTAATAGAATGTGGGTGGGAATTGGGAGGCTCTAGGAGGGATTCAGCTGTAAGTCAAGGGTGGCACATGGTGGACATGGTCTTAAAAGATTATGGGTGGGACTTGAAGGATTGAGAATGGGGGTTTGTGAATCCAGCTTGGGCTAATTTAATAGTAAACAGGATCTTAGTGGTTGGTAGGGCTTAAAAGATTTGTAAGAGGCTGGGCACAGTGGCTTATACCTGTAATCCCAGCACTCTGTGAGGCTGAGGCAGAAGGATCTCGAGGCTAGGAGTTTAAGACCAGTCTGGGCAATATAGCAGGACCTTATCTGTACTAAAAATAAAAAAATTGACTGGGCCCAGTGGCTCACACCTGTAATCCCAGCACTTTGGGAGGCTGAGGTGGTAGGATCACCTGAGGTTGGTGGTTTGAGACCAGCCTAACCAACGTGGAGAAACCCTGTCTCTACTAAAAATACAAAAGTACCCGGGCATGGTGGCACATGCCCATAATCCCAACTACTTTAGAGGCTAAGGCAGGAGAATCGCTTAAACCTGGGTGGCAGAGGTTGCAGTGAGCCGAGATCATGCCATTGCACTCCAGTCTGGGCAACAAGAGTAAAACTCCGTCTCAAAAAAATAATAAAAATTTAAAAATTAGGCCAGGCGTGGTGGCTAATACCTGTAATCCTAGCACTTTGAGAGGCTGAGGTAGGCAGCTCACCTGAGGTCAGGAGTTCAAGACCAGCCCAGCCAACATGGTGAAACCCTGTTTCTATTAAAAATAGAATAATTAGCCAGGCATGGTGGCACATGCCTGTGATTCCAGCTACTTGGGAAGCTGAGGCAGGAGACTGCTTGAACCAAGGAGGCAGAGGTTGCAGTGAGCAGAGTTTGCACCACTATACTGCAGCCTAGGTGACAGAGGGAGACTCTGTCTCATAAATAAATAAATAAATAAACAATAAGAATTTTTTTTATTTATTTATTTTGAGGTGGAGTTTTGCTCTTGTTACCCAGGCTGGAGTGCAATGGCGCGATCTCGGCTCACCAGAACCTCCATCTCCTGGGTTCAAGCAATTCTCCTGCCTCAGCCTCCCAAGTAGCTGGGACTACAGGCGTGCGCCACCATGCCCAGCTAATTTTTGTATTTTTAGTAGAGACGGGGTTTCACCATGTTGACCAGGATGGTCTCGATCTTTTGACCTCATGATCCACCTGTCTCAGCCTCCCAAAGCGCTGGGATTATAGGTGTGAGCCACTGTGCCCGGCCTTCATAAATAATAAAATTTAAAAATCAGCCAGGCATGGTGGTGTGCACTTGTAGTCCCAGCTACTTGGGAGGCTGAGATGGGAGGATTGCTTGAGCCCAGGAGTTGGAGGCTGCAGTGAGCTATGATTGCACCAGTGCACACCAGCCTGGGCAACAGAGCAAGACTATCTAGGGAAAAAGATTTTTTGGGGGAGGCTGAGGCGGGAGGATTGCTTGAGCTCAGGAGTTCAAGACCAGCCTCAGCAGTGTAGTGAGACCTCGTCTCTGCAAAACAATAAAAAAATTAGCCCAGCGTGGTGGCACATACCTGTGGTCCCAGCTACTTGGGAGGCTGAGGTGGGAGAATCACTTGAACCCAGGAGGTCAAGGCTACAGTGAACCATGATCACTCTACTGCACTCCAGCCTGGGTGACAGAACAAGTCCCTGTCAAAAAAAAAAAAATTGTAAGAGGTGTGGCTAGGGCTGAACCTTTATCTTTTAGGCATGTGGTCACTTGGCACAGGGTCTCTGCCACCTGAGGGGTTTAATGCCAGTTCTCCCTCTATTCGAGGTATGGCAAGAGACTTCAGAGACCACCTCATCCATCATGTATTCCTATTTTACTTACCAGCCCTGCAGGAACGCTATGGGAAAGAAGCCGGGAAGTCCTCAGCTGTCAGTGAGGGCCAGGGGGACTCCCCAGGGGGCCCTGCCCCCACCATCCTGGCCCCCATGCCACTGGCAGAGGTGGAGCTGAAATGGGAAATGGAGAAAGAGGAGAAGAGATTGCTCTGGGAGCAGCTGCAAGGCTTAGAGGTGAATCTGGGTCCGCTGGAGCTGGGATGCCAGAGGCAAAGCAGATGTTCTACCTCTGCCTATGGTCCCACAGAGATGTCTGTGACATTGCCATCTTGTGGGCTGATGGGGTAAGGGAAGCAGAAGAGCAGGGGAAGACCTCTCCCCTGTCCTTGCTGACAACAACCCTCCCATTCCTCATCCGTCCCTGCAGAGCTCAAAGCAGGCCGAAACATCCAGGCTGCAGGAAGAACTTGCTAAGGTGGGGCTGCTTGGCTCTTTCCTATTCTACTCCCAATCTGCTGGCTCTTTCCCATTCCACTGTCAATCTGACAGGGCAGAAGGGGCATTATACCCCATCAAAGCCTCAGTTTCATCATTTGTGAAATGGAGAGACTCACACCTATGTCTCAAAGTTACTTTCAATATGGAATGGGCTAATGTGGTCCCACTGTATCTTGTGCATGACAGGTTTCATCCCATCCATCTCCTCTCAACTTTGCCCATTCACTCACTCATTCATTCATGCAAGCATTTACAGACTCTTGGCTCTTATCTTAGGACCTGACGACCCAGTGATGAGGCAGCCAGTCATGACCCCACTTTCCAAGCCTCTCAGCCTAGCCATTCTATAACATGGCCATTGGCCACTATTTTGGGAGCATAAACACTAGGCTTTGGAGCCTGAAGGATCTGGCTGGAGGTAATTGTTGTTGCTGACCAGCTAGGCAATCAAATTACTTAATCTTTCTGAGACTCAGTTTCCTCATTTGTAAAACTGGTACTACTCACTTCTCACGGCTACTTTGAGGATTCCACAAGATAACATAAGTAAATCCTGGCTTCCAAAAAGGACTTAATAAGAAGTGTCTGTATTTATTAAGTTTATATTTGTCTTTATATTGTTCTCAGTGTTATCTCTTGTCTGTACTCCTCTCCCCAGCTCTCGGAGAAACTGAAAAAGAAACAAGAAAGGTGAATTACTTTTTTCCCAGGGGGTATTGAGGGCCAAGGGAGGAATTGACTTATGGAACTGACCCATCTATATCTGTTTTTCTGTGCCTAGTTTTTGCCGTCTGCAGACAGAAAAGGAGACGCTATTTAATGACAGCAGGTAACTGCCAGATTCGTGGGCATTGGTGGACAATGGGGACAGTGCCCAATGAAGACTACAGGGGAAGAGCTAGGAGACTGGACCTCAAGCCATGCTCACCGCATCCCCTCCCCATCATCCCTAGGAACAAGATTGAGGAATTACAACAACGGAAAGAAGCTGATCTCAAAGCTCAGTTGGCTCGAACTCAGAAGCTGCAGCAGGAACTTGAAGCTGCCAATCAGGTGATAGGGGCTGAGTTCTGAGATCAGAACTACCCCCTGGGGTAGGGGCCAGGACTGGGAGCCTAGAGAGGTCTGAGGTCCATGGAGGCTGGTTGGGGAGTCTGAGATTTCCTGTGTTGGAAATCAGTGCTAGGCACCCCCGCCCAGGAGCTATGAAAATGTGAACTGGAGAGACCTAGGAATTGTTATAGGAGTATTCATGAATGTAAGATCTCAGGGGGCTAAGGACTTAGGGGGCTGTGTGCTATAAGTCTGTATAAATCTGAAACTCCTGGAGGTTCGAGACCACAGTCTGGATAAATCTGTGGTCACTGGGGCCTAGGACCAGGCATTGTGGTAAGTCAGAACTCCCTAGGCACTGGGTGACTTTGAGACCTTTAGGGGCTGGGATATCAGTAAATTTGGGACTCCCAAGGGGTGAGGACATGGCTGGGTAGATATATGACTTTCAAGGCTGAGACAGTTGGGGCTGAAGGCTGAGTGTATTTGAGACCCTCAGGATTTGGGCACTGGCTTGGGCCTAAGACCACCTAGGAAGTAGGATTATATGGGCTAGGTGGTCCTGAGATCCTTGGGGGCTGTGAACAAAAAGCTGGTCAGTCTGAGACCTCCACGGGCTGGAGCAAAAGTCTAGGTGGGTCTGAGGCTCCTGAGGACTGGGGACTGGATGACTAAAGCCTCTGGATTTCCTTCTAGAAGAGGTGAGTCTGAAGTTCCTTAGAATGGAGGATATGGTGGCTTGTGGTTCTGAAGACCATAGAAATTGGGAACATGGGATCTGAGACAGGAGTCTGGATAAAGCTGAGACCCCCCTGGTTAGCTGGGTCTGAAGATCCCAAGAGACTAGGGAGCAGAGTGACAGGTGGAAGGGTCAGTCTGAGAGTTCACCAGGACCTGGAAACTAGGAGGTTGTGAGTTTGAGACCTCTAGGATCTGGGACTGTGAGTTTGGGTGGATCTCATTTGGGAGGTAGGGATGTGGGAGATGAGTGTGTCTGAAACCCCTGGTGGTTGGGATTGGGAGACTGGATGAAGCTGTCATCCTTGTGTGCTGACTACATCTGAGATCCATGGGGCTGACTGTGTCAGAATCCCGGGGCTCCCAAGCTTGAATCTGGGCGAGTATGAGATCTCTTATGGATGGGAGCTGAGTGAGTTTGAACGGTGCAGGAGCTAGGGCTAGGAGCCTAGGTGCGTCTGAGATCTTGGAGGCTGGGATAGAGGGATTGACTCTTTCTGAGGCCCTGAGGGTAGTGACCTGGAGTCTGGGTGAACTTGAGATCCCTGCTGGCTGGGTAGTCTGAGACCCACAGGTGCTGGGAACATGATTTTGGGTGGTCAAAGAGGGAGTCTGTATGGTTATTTGTACACCAGGGGAGGCTGATGTGTAAAATGGGCTCCCCTGGTCTCCACAGAGCTTGGCAGAGCTGAGAGATCAGCGGCAGGGGGAGCGCCTGGAACATGCGGCAGCTTTGCGGGCCTTACAAGATCAGGTATGCTGTACTGGGTGGGCTCAGGGAGGTGGGGTTCAGGATGGGGCAGCCTGAGTGGGTACTACCTAGGCAGGCAAGGTCCCAGGGGTCTTGCTTCCCCCAAACCTTCGTGTGTGTGTGTGTGTGTGTGTGTGTGTGTGTGTGTGTGTGTCCGTGTCCTTACTTAGCTGTGGGTAGGTCCTGTCCCCCTGTTTTGGACCCGCTCTCACCTGCTGTGGGCGTGGGACCAGGTATCCATCCAGAGTGCAGATGCACAGGAACAAGTGGAAGGGCTTTTGGCCGAGAACAATGCCTTGAGGACTAGCCTGGCTGCCCTGGAGCAGGTAAAGGATGCCTGGGGGCCCTTGCGGATCCCTCTCTGGTTCCCCCATCTCCATCTGCTTCTGGTCCACATCAGGGTAGGGTGGTCTGGCCCCATGCTGTTCTGTCTTTGTTTCTGTTGCTCCTTTTTGTTGGCGTCTAGCCCTTTTCTCTCTGGCCATCCATCCCTACTTTTTTGTTTTAACTTTAAAAAATTTTATTGGCCAAGCATGGTGGCTCATGCCTATAATCCCAGCACTTTGGGAGGTGGAGGTGGGCAGATCACCTGAGGTCAGGAGTTCAAGACCAGCATGGCCAACATGGCGAAACCCTGTCTCTACTAAAAATACAAAAGTTAGGCCAGGTGCAGTGGCTCACGCATGTAATCCCAGCACTTTGCGAGGCCAAGGCGGGCAAATCACAAGGTCAGGAGTTCGAGACCAGCCTGGCCAAAATGGTAAAACCCCATCTCTACTAAAAATACAAAAAAATTAGCTGGGCATGGTGGCACATGCCTGTAATCCCAGCTACTCGGGAGGCTGAGGCAGGAGAATTGCTTAAACCTGGGAGGTGGAGGTTGCAGTAAGCCGAGATTGAGCCACTGTACTCCAGCCTGGGTAACAGAGCAAGAGTCCGTCTCAAAAAAAATACAAAAATTAGCCGAGTGTGGTGGTGCCTGTAATCTAAGCTACTTGGGAGGCTGAGGTAGGAGAATCGCTTGAACCTGGGAGGCGGAGGCTGCAGTGAGCCGAGATGGCACCACTGCATTCCAGCCTGGGCGACAGAGCAAAACTCTGTCTCAAAAAAAAGAAAAAAAAATTTATTTTGTAGAGGCAGGGTCTCACTATGTTGCTCAGACTGGCTCAAACTTCTAAACTCAAGCTATCTTCCCACCTTGGCCTCCCAAAGTGCTAGGATTACAGGCATGAGCCACGGTGCCCAGCCTATCTGCCTTTCTTGCATTCTAGCTTCTCTCTAGTAAAGTGCATAAAGTGCATTAATCGTAAGTGTACACCCAGTGAATCCTCTCTTCCTTTCTCCCTCTCTCTCCCTCCCCCTGTCGCTGTCACTCTTTACTCTCTCTCTCTCTCTCTTTCTCACCCCACTGCTGCCATAGCCAACACCCAGATCAAGGAATAAAGCACTTTTAGTACCCCAGAAGGTCCCCTTTACCCTTTCACAGTCAGTGCTTCCCCAGAAGTAACTATTATTCTGATCTCTAGCAACAAAGATTCATTTTGCTTGTTCTTTAACCATATAAATGGAATCAGCTGCTCTTTGTCTCTGACTTCTTTCTGGCAGCATTATGTAAGTTTATCCATATGCAGCACAGGTCTGTTCTCTTATTGTTGTGTGATATTCCATTGGATGGAATACCACATTTACCCGTTCTCTTCATTGTTTTTCTGTTTGAGATTTCCTCTCTCTTCCTGGTTCTCTTCCCACCTCCCTCCCTGTTTCCCTGGATCTGGGAGGCTCATACCCTGTGCCTGGCCCCTGGGGTCCCTTTCACTCTACTTCTCATCACCACTGCTTTCTCCAGATCCAAACAGCAAAGACCCAAGAACTGAATATGCTCCGGGAACAGACCACTGGGATGGCAGCTGAGTTGCAGCAGCGGCAGGCTGAGTACGAGGACCTTATGGGACAGAAAGATGACCTTAACTCCCAGCTCCAGGTAACACCTTTGGCTCTGGCCTGTCTCCTCCTGGTTCCCTAAGTAATGGCCCAGTGAAGTCCTCAATAAGGTGGAATAGGAAGACTAGAATTAGAAGGACCTAGGTTCCAGTCTGGCTCCTTATTAGTACCTGTGTGTCCTGGGACAAGTCATTTCACTTCTCTGAAACTGAGCCTCTTCCGTTAGTTAGGATATCCATTCTTTTTTTTTTTTTAAGACATAGTCTTGCTCTGTCGCCCAGGCTGGAGTGCAGTGGTGTGATCTCAGTTCACTGCAATCTCCGCCTCCTGGGTTCGAGTGATTTTCCTGGCTCAGCTTCCCAAGTAGCTGGGATTACAGGCACCTGCCACCATGCCCTGCTAAGTTTGTATTTTTAGTAGAGATGGAGTTTCACCATGTTGGTCAGGCTGATCTCCAACTCCTGACCTCAGGTGATCCACCTGCCTCAGCCTCCCAAAGGATATCCATTCTGATTCCATAATAGAAACCAAAATAATAGTGGATTAAATAAGATAGAAATTTAGTTCTCTCTTGTTAAAAATCCAGGTAGGTTGTTCAGGGATGGAGTGATGGCTTTCCAGTTATCAGTGACCCAGGTCCTTTCTCCATTGCTGTTCCTCTACCTTCAACACAAGACTTTTATCTTAGCATCCAAGATGGTTGCTGAAGCTCCCCAACCATCATGTTTGCAATTTATTGGGAAGGAAGGAGGAAAGGAGGCAGGGAAGAGCGTGCCCCTTTCCTTTAAGAGTATAACCTAAATTACATTCACCGTATACAGGAATAAATCACATGGCCACACCTAACTGTGAGGGAGGAGGGGAAATATCTGCTAGACAACTGTATGCCCAACTATAAATTTTATTGCTAAGGAAGTAAGGGAAAATGAATACTGGGGAACAAGTAGCAGTCTCTGCTATATTTCGGATCCAGAAATTGAGATCACAATACCAACTTTACCAGGGAGAAGGGAGATGGTCTATTAGATGGTCCTGGGTGACTAGCACCTGCTAGGTGCTCTTTATCAAACTCATCCCCTTCGTGTCTGCATTAGGAGTCATTACGGGCCAATAGTCGGCTGCTGGAACAACTTCAAGAAATAGGGCAGGAGAAGGAGCAGTTGACCCAAGAACTACAGGAGGCTCGGAAGGTAGGGTAACATGAAGGTTTAGCAGGGAGGATGAGGGGTAGGAATTGGCTCAGTCGATGAGCCATGGGAGGATGGGGGTAGGTGATATAGCCAAAATATGTGGGGATATGAGGGAAAGGAAAATTGACTGGTTTGTGGTTGACCAGTTTCTTGGCCAAATCCATGAGAGTGGGAGGGGAAAGAAAGAAGTGACAAGTTCCATAAGGATAGGTGAGTACCTTAGCCAGTTCAACAGGGATGGGAGGGAGTAGAGTTTGGCTAGTTCCTTGGTCATGGGAAGAAGATGGGAGGTCTTTTCTTGGTGTTATGGAAGGAAGTTGACTGCCATCCTCCTGGCCCCCAGAGTGCTGAGAAGCGGAAGGCCATGCTGGATGAGCTGGCAATGGAGACGCTGCAAGAGAAGTCCCAGCACAAGGAAGAGCTGGGAGCAGTCCGTCTACGGCATGAGAAGGAGGTACTGGGAGTGCGTGCCCGCTATGAACGTGAGCTCCGAGAGCTGCATGAAGACAAGAAGCGTCAGGAGGAGGAACTCCGTGGGCAGATCCGGGAGGAGAAGGTGGGTGGGTAGATGACAATGCCTTTCCTCCTCTGAAACCACAGCATTGCTGATAGACCAGTGTGTAGTGTGTGTGAGGTGCCTACTCCTCTGCTTGCCTGGCCCATGACAGTCTGCCCCATCCCAGGCCCGGACACGGGAGCTAGAGACTCTCCAGCAGACAGTGGAAGAACTTCAAGCTCAGGTACACTCCATGGATGGAGCCAAGGGCTGGTTTGAACGGCGCCTGAAGGAAGCCGAGGTGAGTTGGTGATGCCTGGTCCTCACCATGACTGGAGCCCTCATGTCAAACCATAGAAGCAGGAGTAGTCAGGCCCTGGAACTTTCTGAGATGTTCTGAGCTTAGGGATATCCTCATAGTCCTCTGACTCAATAGCAGCCCTCTGGACTGGATCAGGGGATGGCCATCAGATAGGACATACTGTCACATGTTCAAGGCTGCCCTGCCTTTGTGCAAATTTCAAAAGGCACTTCTTTCTCCTGAAACAGTACTTCTGTCAGGAAATTAATGCAATACACTGATGTTATTTGAACAAGAACCTGCTGGGTGTGGTGGCTCATGCCCGTAATCCCAGCACTTTGGGAGGCCGAGGTGGGCAGATCACTTGAAGTCAGGAGTTGGAGACCAGCCTGGCGAACATGTTGAAACCCCGTCTCTACTAAAAATACAAAAATTAGCCAGGTGTTATGGCTGGCACCTGTAATCCCAGCTACTCAGGAGGCTGAGGCAGAAGAATCACTTGAACCCAGGAGGCAGAGGTTACATGAGCTGAGATTGTGCCACTGCACTCCAGCTTGGGTGACAGAGTGAGACTGTCTCAGAAAAAGAACTTTTGTTGCCATTTTCTGGAAATCTTTTTTTTTTTTTTTTTGAGACGGAGTCTCGCTCTGTCATCCAGGCTGGAGTGCAGTGGTGCCGTGTCAGCTCACTGCAACTTCCGCCTCCCGGGTTCAAGTGATTCTCCTGCCTCAGCCTCCTGAGTAGCTGGGACTATAGGCACGTGTCACCATACCCAGCTAATTTTTTGTATTTTTAGTAGAGACGGGGTTTTACTGTGTTAGCCAGGTTGGTCTTGATCTGACCTTGTGATCCGTCTGCCTTGGCCTCCCAAAGTGCTGGGATTACAGGCATGAGCTACCTCGCCTGGTCCATTTTCTGGAAATCTTATAATACATTGAAAGGAATTGTCATGTAGCAGTGGAAAGCACAGGTGGGAGCCAGTTGTTTGTCTAGATTTAAATCCTGGCTGGGCTGCTTCCTAGCTGTGTGACCTTGGGCAAGTTATCTTACCTCTCTGTGGCCTGTTTTCATCAATGGTAGAAAGAGGATAACAATAATATCTACCATCTAGGTATTATGGGAGAATTATAGAAAATGAGTAGTAAGTGCTGTGTTATGTTTTGTTAAATAAGAGAAAATGGTAATGGAAATCTAGGTCAACCATGTGAATGGTGCAGACCTAGATGTGAACTTCTGCATACTGCCTAAGGGCGTGTGGGGTTCCCCACAGGAAGGGTCATTTCTGCATACCTCTGGACCCCCATTGCAGTCCCTCATACCCCTAACGGGGATGATGTCTTCTGGGAGGCTGTGGCGAGACCTGGGACTTGTCTTGTAGGAATCCCTGCAGCAGCAGCAGCAGGAACAAGAGGAAGCCCTCAAGCAGTGTCGGGAGCAGCATGCTGCCGAGCTGAAGGTGCCTCTCGCATGATGGTGTTCCTCTCTCCAGATAGTGACGGGCCCCTTGGGAGGACAGAGGCTTCTCTAGCCGAGACCTGAGCTGCTTTCTGCTTTGCAGGGCAAGGAGGAGGAACTACAGGATGTTCGGGATCAGCTCCAGCAGGCCCAGGAGGAGCGGGACTGCCACCTGAAGACCATTAGCAGCCTGAAGCAGGTCAGCAAACCCTGTACAGCCCCAGACACACCCCTGATCCTCTGTGTGCATCAGGGCAGGGGGGGAGCATGCTGCAGGCAACTCTTCCAGCACCCACCAGCCATGCTTGCTTTCTCCCACAGGAGGTGAAGGACACAGTGGATGGGCAGAGGATCCTGGAGAAGAAGGGCAGTGCTGCGGTAAGACAGAGGGATGCCCAAGCATGGCTCCCTCCTACCAGTAGCCTCCTCCTATAGGCCCACTGGGCCTCAGTCCTAATCTTACCCCCTACCCCAAAGCTCAAGGACCTCAAGCGGCAGCTGCATCTGGAGCGGAAACGGGCAGACAAGCTGCAGGAGCGGCTGCAGGACATCCTCACTAACAGCAAGAGCCGCTCAGGTGAGGGACCAGGACAGGAAGAGGAGGCTGAGGCAGAGGGGAGGCAGGGCCTGGGCCTGCAGGCTGCAGGTCAGTCCTGCATCTTCCTCGGTTGTGCTTTCCTGCTTCTGTCGCTCTAGAACTTCATCTGTCTTTTACCTTTTCTTTGTCTCTCCTCTGATTCTTTCTCTGCATTCTCTGTTTATTTCTTTCTGTCTCTTTTTTGCTGTATCTTCTCTGTTTCTGTCTCTGCCTCTTTCTCATTTTGTTCTTTCTCTTTCCTCTATATTTGCCTTTATCTCCTTACCTACTTTCTCCAGTTTTCTCCTTTTTTCCTCCCCTCTTTCTTTTCTCTGTTCCTTTATCTCTTCGTACTGTTCTATCTCTGTCTCATTTTTCTTTCTTCTGTTTGTCTGTTTATATCCCTGTCTCCTCACTGTATGTACTATACACACTCCCACACCTCACTTGGTGTTTCTAAATCTGTTGTATGTAATCTCTCATTCTATAAATCTCCAAACTCAAGTCCAGGGTCCCTGATATCAAACTCCCTGAGTCCCTGCCCTCCAGAAGCCCCCAGTTGAGCTAGGGAGACAGACTTACAGTCAGCAACACTGTGGTGTTTTCATTATACAGCTAATCCAATCTGTTATTTCTGCCACTTCAAGCAGAAGACACACACACACAACTTGAGTTGCTTCAGCCTTTTTTTAGACAGGGATGGCCTATAAATACATTTAAGTAAGTAAAATGCAATCATGGCTCTGGTGTATCTCTGAGATCACAGATTCAGAGAAAACTTGGTCCCTTGTTCCCCCAGTCGGGATGATCCCCAACTCAGCCACCCCACCCTTGCTGGATATCCTTGAGGGCGTGTTGTCATCCCCCTCCCTGACACCCAGAAACAGCTACATGAGCAGCTGCACAAGCTCTGTGCCTGTGCTTTAAGTGATGTGGCAAAACAGATGTATCTCTCACCAAATCAATTTTTCTCTGAGGCACTCAGTCTCCTGAAGTAACCTTTCTTTATAAAGGAGGAGTTCTGTTTCTGTTTTATTACAGATGAATGTAAAAATCTTGGGAAAGGGTTCAATTGTATACCATACATTGACCTTGTCCATTAGATGAGGTGCATGGTTAACGAGATTTAGGTGCATGGTTACGAGAGCCTGCCTGCATCTTTTGTCTCTCTGTCGCTGTCTCTGCTCTGGCTCGTTTCTTTCTCCAGGTTCTCTCTCTCTGTTAGTTTCTGTCATTTGCTCTGGCGTTTTCTCTCTGCAAGTGGCTGTGCCCTGTGCTTTCTCTAGTTGTCTTCCTTTCTCTGAGCCCTGTGTCTGAGTGTGTCTGTTTGCCACTTGAGGCCCACGTGTACCCACATTGCTATGTTTCTCCTTGCTCTTCCATTTTCTCTCTCTTTTTGTATGTGTTTCTCCAGAAAGGCAGCCCTTTTTTTCTTTTCTTTTCTTTTTTTTTTTTTTGAGACAGTGCAATGGTGTCATCTCAGCTCACTGCAACCTCTGCCTCCCGGGTTCAAGTGATTCTCCTGCCTCAGCCTCCCAAGTAGCTGGGATTACAGGTGTGCACCACCACACCCAGCTAATTTTTGTATTTTTAGTAGAGATGGGTTTTTACCATGTTGGCCAGGCTGTTCTCGAACTCCTGACCTCCAGTGATCCACCCGTCTTGACCTCCCAAAGTGCTGGGATTACCCTGCGCCTGGCCTCAGCTCTTTTTTCTGTCTCTGTCTCTCCCTGTCCTGCCATCCGCTTCTGCCTTTCCCCATGCCTAGGTGTCTCTCCATCTCTGTCAAATCTATTTCTGCTGCTTCCTACTGGTTGCTACCCTGGGACTCAGGGGGATTGGGACTCAAGTTTCTCTTCCCTCCACCACCCAGGCCTTGAGGAGCTGGTTCTCTCAGAGATGAACTCACCAAGCCGGACTCAGACAGGGGACAGCAGTAGCATCTCCTCCTTCAGCTACCGGGAGATCTTGCGAGAAAAGGAGAGCTCAGCTGTTCCAGCCAGGGTAAGGGGCAAGGAAGAACCTACAGCCCCAGCTTCTCCCAACCTAAAAATCTGAGAACCCCTCTCCTTTTCTCCTTACCTAAAACCATCTCCTACTTTGGGGCGCAGCACACATATTTTCTTGTCAACTTCTCCTCAAGCCCACCAAATTGGATTCAGATTGTTAAATGGGGGACAGGCCAATCATTCATATTCATTCTCTCTCTCTCTCTCTCTCTCTCTCTCTCTCTCTTTCTCTGTTTCGTCATCTGTGGGCTAATTTCCCCTTCACTATAGTATAATTTTTTTAAAACCACAAATGATGAAATGATGCGGGGTGTGGTAGCTCACACCTGTAATCCCAGCACTTAGGGAGGCCAAGGTGAGTATATCATGAGGTCAGGAGTTCGGGACCAGTCTGACCAACATGGTGAAACCCCATCTCTACTAAAAATAAAAAAAAAAAACTAGCCAGTTGTGGTGGGGGCCTGTAATCCGAACTACTTAGGAGGCTGAGACAGGAGAATCACTTGAACCTGGGAGGTAGAGGTTGCAGTAAGCCAGGATCGCACTACCGCGCTCCAGCCTGGGCATAGAGTGAAACTCCATCTTAAAACACACACACAAATGAGCAAGTTTTTTTTTTTTTTAAGAGACGTGGTCTCGTTATGTTGCACAGGCTGGAGTGCAGTATTCACAGGCGTGATCCCACTACTGATCAGCACAGGAGTTTTGACCTGCCCTGTTTCCAACCTGGGCTGGTTCACCCCTCCTTAGGCAACCTGATGTTCCCCGCTCCCGGGAGGTCACTGTATTGATGCCAAACTTAGTGGGGACACCTTATTGGCATAGTGCACTACAGCCCAGAAGTTCTGGGCTCAAGAGATTCTCCCACCTCATCCTCCTGAGTAGCTGGGACTACAGGCATGTGCCACTGCGCCCAGCCAGCAAAGATTTTTTAAAACCTTAAATGTCTGACTGGGTGTGGTGGCTCATGCCTATAATCTTAGCACTTTGGGAGGCCAAGGTGGGTGGATCACTTGAGCTCAGGAATTCAAGACCAGCCTGAGAAACATGGTCAAAACCCAACTCTTAAAAAAACAAAAACCGCCGGGCATGGTGGCTCACGCCTGTAATCCAAGCACTTTGGAGGACAAGGCGGGCAGATCACCTGAAGTCGGGAGTTCAAGACCAGCCTGACCAACATGGTGAAACCCCCATCTTAAAAAATAAATAAATAATAAAAACAAAAACCAAAAAACCTTAATGTAAAAAAAAAAATATTTTCAACATCCAGAAGTCACCATTGTAAATTCTTAGTTCAGGACCAGGCTCACGCCTGTAATCCCAGCACTTTGGGAGGCTGAGGCGGGCAGATCACTTTAGGTCACGAGTTTGAGAACAGCCTGGCCAATATAGGGAAACCTTGTCTCTATTAAAACGCAAAAATTAGCTGGGCATGGTGGTGCATGCCTGTAATCCCAGCTACTCGGGAGGCTGAGACAAGGGAATCACTCGAACCTGGGAGTTGGAGGTTGCAGTGAGCCAAGATCACACCACTGCACTCCAGCTTGGGTGACAGAGTGTGACTCCATCTCTAAATAAATAAATAAAATAAATTCTTGCTGGGTGCTGTGGCTCACGCCTGTAATCCCAGCACTTTGGGAGGCCGAGGTGGGTGGATCACAAGGTCAGGAGATCAAGACCATCCTGGCTAACATGGTAAAACCCCGTCTCTACTAAAAATACAAAAAAAAAAATTAGCCGGGCGCGGTGGCATACACATGTAGTCCCAGCTACTCGGGAGGCTGAGGCAGGAGAATCACTTGAACCTGGGAGGCAGGGGTTGCAGTGAGCTGAAATCGTGCCACTGCACTCCAGCCTGGGTGACAGAGCGAGACTTCGTCTCAAAAAAGGAAATAAATAAATAAATTCTTAGTTTATACTCTTCCAGAATTCTCTCTCTTTTTAAAACCTAGATATGATTAACCTGTTTTTATTCAACTGTTGTCTCTACCTTCCCAATTAGATAAATTTTCAAGTCATCAGCTGGGTACGGTGGCTCACGCCTGTAATCCCAGCACTTCTGGGAGGTGGAGGTGGGCAGATCACTTGAGGTCAGGAGTTCAAGACTAGCCTAGCTAACATGGTGAAACACCGTCTCTACTAAAAATACAAAAATTAGCTGGGCATGGTGGCACATGCCTGTAATTCCAGCTACTCGGGAGGCTGAGGCAGGAGAATCACTTGAACCTGGGAAGTGGAGGTTGCAGTAAGCCAAGATTGCACCACTGCACCGCAGTCTGGGCATCAAGAGCAAAACTCTGTCTCCAAAAAACAAAAAAAATTCATGTCATCTAATACTTCGATTTAATCAGATTTCTCTAGTTTGCCCCAGAATGCCCTTTCTTGCTGGTTTTGTGAAAACTAGCATTCAGATTCAGAGCACATGTTACATCTGGTTGTTTTATGGCCCTTAAATCTCTTCAGTGTGATCCCTTTTTTCCTGAGACCAACTTGTTGAAGAGGCCAGCCCAGTCACCGCACAGGAAGTATGCTACCTTTTGGGTTTTTCTGCTGGCTTCCTGATAGTATGATTTAGCATGACCCTTTCTCTTCCAGTTTTCCTGTCAGCTGGAAGTTAGATCTCATGTGCTTTGCGATCTTCCTTTAATCCTCTCCATAAGGCTCTGATGTTGTTACTCTCTACCTCTGTTTAGGCAGAGGGGAAAACAGTCTGAGGGTACTAAGATGGACCTACAGTCCCAGTTTCAGGGTCTATGTTCTCTCACCTACCTCTGGCCTGGTTCTCCTCCCCAGTACCTGACACTTGTCTGGGGTGGGTGGTGCTAAGCCTGGGGCTAGCCTCTCCCCTTCTCTTTCCTGCAGTCCTTATCCAGCAGCCCTCAGGCCCAGCCCCCTCGGCCAGCAGAGCTGTCAGATGAGGAAGTGGCTGAGCTCTTTCAGCGGCTGGCAGAGACACAGCAGGAGAAATGGATGCTGGAAGAGAAGGTGCTGCCTGCCCGCCCGCCTGCCCATCCTCACTTGAAGTGCCCTTGGGGGTGTGGGATAGGGCTGGGGCCGCCTCATGTGTGAACATGTACAGTAGAGAGGTCTCAAGCGGACTGGGCCATCCTGCAGGTGAAGCACCTAGAGGTGAGCAGTGCCTCCATGGCAGAGGACCTCTGCCGGAAGAGTGCCATCATCGAGACCTACGTCATGGACAGCCGGATCGGTCAGTGCCCCCTCCCCACCCTTAGCCCTGGTCCAGCCTTCACCTGGCCTTCCCTCTCCCTTCTGTGCCTTGGCTTCTCTTCTCTCCTCTTGGAACTCAGAGAAGCTACTGACAAGACCATGACCTCTGGAGGAAAGAACAGGAAAGCGCTGTCTCTTGCTCTCGCCTCCTCCCTCTTCTGTCTGTCATCTCTCCACTCTCATTCTCCAGTGTGTCTCTCTGTCTGCTTTCTCCTTTCCTCTCCCTATGCCTCATCTTCCTCTCCCCTTCTCTCCCTTCTCTCTTCCTGTTTCTTTTTCACCCACCTCCTTCATCTTGTCTTGCTGTCTATATTGTTCTATCTCCATACATTTTCTTTCTCTGTATCTTCATTGCTTGTGCTTCTTTCTTTCAAACCTTCTCCTTCACAGATTTTTCTTTATTAATCAGAATCATACCAACCAATATGTGCCGAGGGCTTTCTGTGTGCTCTGTGCTTCACATGCAGTCATGTGCATCTTTCCAGTCCATGAGTTATCCTCATCTCTCAGGGCCGCACAGCTAGTGAGTGACAGAGCTAGGTTTCCTATGTCAAAGCCTCTGCCCTACATGGCGTGGCTTTTCCTGCTCCCTTCTCCCCTAGTATTTGTCTCGCTCTTTTCTCCTCTGGCTCCGCCTGGCTCTCCTCTGGCTCGGCCGAGGGGGTGGTTTTCAGCCTGGGCCCTTGCAGATGTGTCTGTGGCAGCAGGCCACACAGACCGAAGCGGGCTGGGCAGCGTCCTGAGAGACCTTGTGAAGCCAGGCGACGAGAACCTTCGGGAGATGAACAAGAAGCTGCAGAACATGCTGGAGGAACAGCTCACCAAGAATATGCACTTGCACAAGGCGAGTGTGGCCTGCCAGCCTACCCATCTGTTCACCTAGCCGCCTGCCTACCCAGCCACACAGCCCCTGGGTCATCACCCACCCACCCAGCCTGTCCTCCCAGCTATCCTCCTACCCACTCAACTACCCCATCATGCTCTCATCTTCCACCCTCTCATCAACTTACCCATTTGTTCCTTCCATGTACCCGCTCATCCATTTATCTACACATTCACCCAGCCATTTGCCCATCTGTCCATCTACCCAACCTACAACTAATTCATCTCATTGTCTACCTCATGTCCTGCCACCCATTTCCTGACAGATCATTCTCTTATCTACTCATCAGTTGCCCCTTATGTTACCTTTCACCCACCCAGTGGCCTCCCTGCCTACCTGTTGATCTCCATCTGTCCTCTGGACAATTCATTTGTTCGCCTATTTGCCTACGATAGATCCCCCATGGGTCCACGTACCCATCTTTTTGCCCAACCTGTCACCCAAAGACTTACCCCATCTCTGAGAGTCAGAAAGGAGTCAGATCCAGCTCCTGCCTTTGAGAAGTAAGTGCACACTTAGTAGAAGAGCAGGTGGCCAGAGTGGTGGTGTATCCTGCAGCAGCACCATGCCGCAAGAGGTGCCACACTCCCATATCTGTAGCTCCCCACCCATCTTCATGACTTTTGAGCCCAGCCCACTGCTGGTGGCACTGTGAGCTTCTCCAAGTACCTTCCTATCTCAGGCCAGACACAGCTGAGCATTGATTAATGAAGGGGTATGAAGGAAATCACAGATGATACCCTAGGTTTGGCAAGGGAGCAGCCTGTCCCGTTCTCTGACCCCTGATGGTTCATTTGTTTCTTAGGACATGGAAGTTCTGTCCCAGGAAATTGTGCGGCTCAGCAAGGAGTGCGTGGGGTCTCCTGACCCAGACCTAGAGCCAGGAGAAACCAGCTAAAGACCTGCAGGCTGTACCCACACCCTCCCCTTCCTACCCGCTAGGATGCCATTCCCTTGGGCTGTGGTGGGAAAATGAGGGCTGGAGCCAAAATCATATAGGTTAGGAGACTGGACATTAAAGGGGCTAGAGGCCTGACGGTTAGTGTTAATTACCCTGTCTTAGGGCAGAAGCCACTGGGAAGTGGAGATCCTGAGAGAAGAGGCAGGGATTTCTCCTCCTTGGTCCTGGCTCCCAAGGGCTTCTGCCTTCATCTCTGCATGAGCTCTCCTTCCCAGAGACCAACTCTTTTTTTATTTTATTTTATTTTTTAATTTATGTCTGGAGCCTGGCTACTCTGCATTTGGGATTGGGGATGTTGGGTGGGTGTGTGGTCCATGTTCAGCGTTCTTGCAACACGTGCGTGTGTGTATGTAAAGGCTGTGCAGCTAAAATACCATCTGGCCAGACGGGCCCACCCACTTACTGTCTGGTCTCGTTCTTTTCAACCAGGAGGGATGTGCTGGGATTGGGGAGGTTCACACCATTGGAATAGGGAGGGAGGTCTCTGGCTGCAACATTACTCTCTTTTCCCTACCCTTATCCAGCCTGTCTCCATTTACTGCTGACCAACCCCTCAAACTGAGTGGAGCTGAAATACCTGCAGATATGTACATGGGTAGACATGTATGGGATTGTGGGTGTAGATGAGTAGACAGATGGGAGGATGGATAAGTGATTAGATGGACTGATGGATGAATATGTGGACGGTTGCATGGACTGATGATGGATAGGTTGAAAAATAAATGATAGACGTATGTATGTATGGATGGATGGATGGGTGGTTGGATGAATAAATGGATAGATAGATTGGTAGGTGGATAAAGGATGGATAGTGGAGATGTAAATGCACAGGTAGATAATAGGTCTGTGGACAAATGGATGGTGGATGAATTAGGTAGATAGGTGAATGGATGGGTTTACGGACAGGTTGGGAGTAAATGGACCAATGGATAGGGGAATGGATGGATGGGTAGATGAGCTAATGAATGGAAAAGGTAAAGAGTAGGAGAAGAAATGATGAGTGGAGCTATGTATGAACAGAGGTGGGCAGAGGATGTCACCCTGCATGTGTTCTGGGTGGACAGAGATGGGTGGAGGATGGATACATACAGATAGGTTGGTGAATAGTTAGGTGGATGGGGTGAACTTACAAATGGATGAATGAGTGGGTGGGTGGATTAACAACTAAGTGGACAGATGGGTGGGTGGAGAGATGGATAGAGTAATTGGTTGTGTGGGTGGGAGAATGGGTGGATAGGTGGGTGGAGGGATGGATGTAGAGACGGACAAATCAGGAGTGTGCCAAGTGAGCAAATGGAAGATTACATGAGTGGGTAAATTGGATGGAAGGCTAGGCCTGGCCCTGTGATACGATGCCCCCATCATCACACGCCTTTAAGGTTAAGCATCCCTGGTGCTGTGTCCTGTGCCATCACCTTTCACATTGTGTAATGCTCCAAATGACGCTATCAAGTTAGGATAACACTCTCCATCTTACAACTGAGGAAACAATACAAGTCACTTGCTCAAGGATGCAGCAAGTCAGTGGCAAAGCTGGAGTTCGAACCCACTGATAGCCAGCCAGAGGCACTCCATAATCAGTGCTCCTGCCATCCAGAAGCAGAGCCCTCTAGTGGAGGAGGTGTGATTTGAGGCCACTGGATGTGGACAGATAAGGGAGACCCCCCCCTCGGAGTGGGGCCTGCCTGGGAGATGACTTGGTAGGGGCATGGGACCTGGATTGCCCCCTCTACATTCCCTTTACCCTCATTGCATATCTAAAAACAGGAAGTTGCGTGCTCCAGTCCCACAGCCGAAATCTTAGAGCAGGGGCTCTAACCAATGCTGCGTCCCTCAAGGGGCAGCTTTGGAGACTTGGCCATCTGGAGAAACACTCCCCAGCAATTACCCCCGGTTCTCCTGCCCTTCCACAGTCTGGGGGGCAGGGAGGGGACAGCGCTGCATCATTCCCTGTGGCACTCCGCTCTGGGGCCATTAACAGACGCCTCCCCATCGATCGGATCTGCTAAGTGCTGCTGATTCAGGCGAGTGGGGGTGGGGGCCCCTGGGGGCAGAGGGGGTAGGAGCTGGGCAGGAAGAAAGGGGAGTCCAGGAAGGAGGTGGGGAGAATTGGCAAAGTTCCCTGCCACCCCCATTTTCCAGATGACGCGACTGAGGCCCAACCAGCTTTGTAGGAGGCGGAGTCTCCCCAGGGTCCCTCTCTGGCTGTCCTAGGGGAGGGGGCTCGGGGAGCCACGAGGCCCCTCCCTGCCTCTCTCTTCATCTCCCGGCAAGCTTGGAGGGGCGGGGAGAGAGAGCCAGAGGAGGAGGAGAACTCAGGCAGCTCTGCAGAGGGTGCCAGGAGCTCGGGTGTTTGGTACCCCCAGCCCCACCGCTGTTGCTACTGCTGCAGCAGGGACACAGGTGAGGACAGCCCGAGAAGGGGGGGGAGGGGGACCACCACTAGCGCTGTCCTCATCCTTTCCTGGTCCAGCCCCCACACCCTAGCTCATCCTGGGATAGCCCCCAGGGGTCCCACTGGACCTTGTCCTTCCCAGGCCTCCTTCCGGGGACCCCGAGCCCTCCCCCTGCCTATGCCACCACCTTCTCTCCTACGCCTGGCTGTGGTTGCTTCTCTTCCTTCTGCTGCCGCTGCTGCTACTGCCACTGCCCGGCACGCACCGCCAGCCCCTCGGGGTGTGGTTTCCCCAGACCTGCCCCCAACAGTGGTTCCCAGCCTTCTCCCAGCCTCCCCTGCCAGTTTCCTGCAAAGCCCAGGAGCACCCCCTCACTGGAGACACACCCAACTACCTTACAACATCCCACCCCCTCTTACTCCCATTTTGGGGTACCCCCCTTCCTCTTACTTAGTCTTTATAGATCCCCTGGATGCTCTGGGACTGTGCCCAACTTCCTAACATTTGAGTCCTAGTCCCTTGGAATTCCCCAGGCCCCTTTTTCCTCCCTGTAGAACTCCTGAGAGTGTCGACCAGGCTTTCTTGGCCCCTCTAGATACCCACCTCCCCCAGATAACTCTCAGCCTCCCAAAAAATAACCCAGCCCCCGTCTAACTCTTCAGATAATGCCTTCCCCTCTCCAGCCCTACTAGGAGGCCCTGGCCTCTCCTTTGTTCCCCAGAACTCCTGTAGAGTACAGACACCCTCCCCGGGTTATTCTTGGCAGCTCTAGGCACTCCCAAGACACCTTTCAGCCTCTTTACAACCTCCTGGCTCCACACCCACCCCTCGAGATGTACCAGCTCCCTTTCCAGATCCATGAGGGGGCTCCAGCTGTCTTATGCTTCCCCTAGAAGTCTTGAGGGTGCGGACAACCCTCATCACCTGTCTCAGCCCCTCTAGAACCCCCACTTCCAGGCACTCTCAGCCTCTTTCAAGCACCTCAGGTCCCATTTCTATCCCTCTGGATGCCCCAGTCTCTTCTCCAGCCTTGCAAAGGAGTTCCAGGCCCTTCTGCCTTCCCTGAGACTCTTGAGAGTGTAGACAACTCCCCACGTGTGTCTTGGCCCCTCTAGACGCCCCTAGATACCTCCTAGGCACAGGCTGACTCCCTTAGAATCATCTCAGTGTCTCTAAACCGTTCCTCAGCTCCTTCTTGGCCCCATCCCCACACCCTTTTACTGCTCTTCTCCACATCCTCAAGTCCCTTCTCAGTCCCTCAGGACATTGCCCAGGCCCTTCCTAGGCCCTGTAAATGTCCCCCAAGCTCCTGCCCATCTCTCTAGTTCTTCCTTCTGGTTACTCTTGGCCTCTCTAGACACCCCCAGTTTCCTTGTTCAGGTGGCTCAAGGCATCTCCAAGCCCCCACCATCCTGGAGACAGCCACATTCTCCTAAACACCACCCCCGCTAAGTCTCCCTGGGCTTGGGGAGTGGCACGATGGCGGCAGGCCTGGCCACGTGGCTGCCTTTTGCTCGGGCGGCGGCGGTGGGCTGGCTGCCCCTGGCCCAGCAGCCCCTGCCCCCAGCCCCGGGGGTAAAGGCATCTCGAGGAGATGAGGTTCTGGTGGTGAATGTGAGTGGACGGCGCTTTGAGACTTGGAAGAATACGCTGGACCGCTACCCAGATACCTTGCTGGGCAGCTCAGAGAAGGAATTCTTCTATGATGCTGACTCAGGCGAGTACTTCTTTGATCGCGACCCGGACATGTTCCGCCACGTGCTGAACTTTTACCGAACAGGACGGCTCCACTGCCCACGACAGGAGTGCATCCAGGCCTTCGATGAAGAACTGGCCTTCTATGGCCTGGTCCCCGAGTTAGTCGGTGACTGCTGCCTTGAAGAGTATCGGGACCGAAAGAAGGAGAACGCTGAGCGCCTGGCAGAGGACGAGGAGGCTGAGCAGACCGGGGATGGCCCAGCCCTGCCAGCAGGCAGCTCCCTGCGACAGCGACTGTGGCGGGCCTTTGAGAATCCACACACGAGCACTGCAGCCCTCGTTTTCTACTATGTGACCGGCTTCTTCATCGCCGTGTCGGTCATCGCCAATGTGGTAGAGACCATCCCATGCCGCAGCTCTGCACGCAGGTCCTCGAGGGAACAGCCCTGTGGTGAACGCTTCCCGCAGGCCTTTTTCTGCATGGACACAGCCTGTGTACTCATATTCACAGGTGAATACCTCCTGCGGCTGTTTGCCGCCCCCAGCCGTTGCCGCTTCCTGCGGAGTGTCATGAGCCTCATCGACGTGGTGGCCATCCTGCCCTACTACATTGGGCTTTTGGTGCCCAAGAACGACGACGTGTCAGGCGCCTTTGTCACCCTGCGTGTGTTCCGAGTGTTCCGCATCTTCAAGTTCTCCAGGCACTCACAGGGCTTGAGGATTCTGGGCTATACACTTAAGAGCTGTGCCTCTGAGCTGGGCTTTCTCCTCTTTTCCCTAACCATGGCCATCATCATCTTTGCCACTGTTATGTTTTATGCCGAGAAGGGCACAAATAAGACCAACTTTACAAGCATACCTGCAGCCTTCTGGTATACCATTGTCACCATGACCACACTTGGGTGAGTGCAAACTCTGTGTTGGGGGCTGCCCAATCAATTACACTCACCCTTTCTGCAAAATTAGGAAGTTTAAAGGAATGATCTCTTTCTTTTCTTTTCTTTTCTTTTTTTTTTTTTTTTTGAGACAGAGGTTTATTCTGTCACCCAGGCCAGAGTGCAGTGGCAAGATCTCAGCTCACTGCAACCTGTGCCTCCCAGGTTCAAGTGATTCTCCTGCCTCAGACTCCCAAGTAGCTCGGATTACAGATACATGCCACCACGCCCAGAAAATTTTTGTATTTTTGGTAGAGATGGGGTTTCACCATGTTGGCCAGGCTGGTCTGCAACTCCTGACCTCAGGTGATCCACCCACCTTGGCCTCTCAAAAGTGCTGGGATTACAGGCGTGAGCCACAGTGCCCAGC